CGTAGTTGTCTTATTCCTCTTTTGAACGAAAGATTTTTTTCGGTTTTTAGCTCGTTAAAGTTGGTAAGCTTTTGTTCGGCAAACTCAGCGAGGGAAGTAAAATTTGGCAAAATGTGGATATAATGGATAGTAATAACAGTAGATGTATTAATTTATTTTTGTATCTTTTACTTAATAATAAAAAGTTTAATAAAATAAATATATCATTTTATATCATATAGAAGAAATTTTCTGGTTCTAATAATAAAAATATATGATCGATTTACTCTTCGCGACTATGATGTTTATTTAATAAAAAAATTATTTAGCATTAAAGAACAGTACAGGAAAAAGAAATTTGCAAATTTTATAAAAAACATATTAACATAGGCACCAAATTTTACTATGATAACTCTATCCGCGGTGACTCAGATGAATTTGAAGAGATGAATTTTTAACGTATGGCAAAATATTTAAAATTATATTAGTAGCTTCGTACTGTAAATACTTAATTATAACGATGAAACTTTGAAAATTATCAACAAAAGTCATGATAACAAAATTCACGTTATTCTGCCACAAAATTCTTCTAATCTCTCAAAATTCATCACAATTCATAATTTTCTCCTAAAATTTCCTATGTAGAATATGAAAGAACCTAAAACACGGGAATTAAATTTTGGGAAGATTCTCACCAAATGCCCACAAAATTTATCACCACAAAAAAATGGTCATAACTTTAACGCGTTTTTTATTAGCCAATAAAATCCAACTTATGTAGCAGTAGATCTGCATAGCTTTTACTTATTAGTTTATTTAGTTTATACTAATGTCGAATTCTGAGCCTTCTGCAAAACGAATCACCCTTGGAGCCAAGACTCCACAACGTTCGCTGGCTTCAATAATAAATGCAACTCGCGCAAACTTTGCCGAAACTCCTCCTAATGCATCTATATTTCATACTCAATCGGGCAAAAAACAAACCACGTCCAAAAGATTAACTAAAAGTTTTAAATCCCCATTAAATCAAGTACAAAAAGACCCAGAAATCAAATCAATGATCGAAAAACAACGTCAATTAGAAAAGGATATAGAGAATGCAAAGGATAATATTCGAAAAATCAAATTATTATTGAATTATCAAGAAAAGGTATATAAATTATTAGTATAAGTTTTATTTTAATTTTGAACTCAATTTCTTACCTTATTCGAGTTAAGAATGAAAATGAGAATAATGATACGCTTATAAAAAAATGGAGACGTGCAAGTCAAGATGCTGCGGAATTTTTATTTGAAAAACTACCAAAACAATCTTCATTTCTTGAAGAGGCGGGATTTTCAAATTCTTGGGACAAAAATTGGGGATGGGGTGAGGAAGAACATCAGAAAAGAGATAATAATTCAGATCAAGATGATGAAAATTACTGTGAACAACAGAGC